AACTTCCGTTGAGGGTTTTGATAAGACCGATGCGAGGCTATGTGAAATTCAGTGGAAACGTCAGCTCAACTCATATCATTGTGGGAAAATTCTTCTTCTACCAGTCCTTCATCAAACGAAATTGGGTGAATACTTCTCAAATTGTATTTATGTTTTAGAGTAATTTAATTTTAGAAATTATTTTTATAAGCAAACTATTCTGCTATTCCAATCTTTTACATGAAATACAAATTATACAAACATTTACCTTGCTCAGGTTTGTTTGAGTGAATCCAAATTTCACCCTTCTTCAATGCGGAATCGCTGTCCACACTTTTGAAAGTGGTCCTCACATCAACCAGATATAAACCGTCTGTGAATACTGGCATTTCAACGGCTGGAAAGTTAATAAAGTTTACTCGTTTCTGCATTTGTGTGATTACCATCATACTAATATCACATACATACAGATGCGATAATGCACACTGCCTTAAATGGTACTTTCCTGAAGACAGACGAATTGCTTTTTGGGAAAACATTTTAAAAGAAACACTTAACGAGGCATACTATTTGATTTCAGGTGGAAAATAGGCAAAACGGTTATAGTATTGAATTAATTATATACCTATTGGGAATCTCTACCCCTTCTGCCTTATTATCAAATTGTACTATTATAAAATCTGCCTAATAATCTCCGTTCCCCTTATCCCAAACTTTGGCTCAGAAGGAATTTATACTTGTCTAGAAATGCTTTAGGAGAGTTAGCCCAGTTTTTCAGGCACCTACAGGGATGGGATTCAGCATGCAATGTTACCCTAATAAAGAATATTATTCTGTTAGTTTCTGCCAATTGTTAGATTGTAAGAAATGCTGAAGTAATATAGCACTGTAATAGAAAGTACTTTGTAAAATATATAGTAAAATTTATTACATTAACCCCATTTTTAGTCCCAAAATATACTAGTCTGGCCTTTTATTACATAATAAAACTTGAATTCAGTTATTTATGAAAAACTTTGAGAGTGGAATTTCCTAGAAATTTAAACAACTGTATAAATTTGCCTCGTAACAAACAAATCAGCGATCGGAGGTTTACACACTTAGTGTTAAATATTGACTTTGAAATGCAGGTTGTATATTACACTACTAATACAAAATAATGCATAAATGACGTAATAATAGGCAGCTTAAACGAGAGGCATAAGGCCAATTATAAATAAACCCGCCATAACAGCTCGGCCTGAAAACGCATTAAGTTGATTATCTGGCGTAAGTTCGCTTAATCAAACGAAGGAATTGATACATCAAGGCATCACCATGCTTAAGAAGTTCATTAAGCCATTTCATCCAGGTAATCATGGAAATTGGATGGAATAATATTAAGGCCTTCTACTAATTTCAGTATAAACGTCTCAGATTCCATCACTCTATGTGAACAAAGGGATTTCTAGTTTTTACTAAATAGGCACCGATAGATTGGAAACCTACTCATTTTTCCAATACTTAGTTCACTCTAAAAAATCCATCAACGACTCTGCTTTATTATTCACTAATGCAAATGTATTGCTGTTTTGTTCCCAGTAGTCTAAGCCACTTTGAACCAGAGTAGTTTGATCGTAGGTCGCAGTCTGCTTTCGTTGTGTAGAAGTTGTTTGACCTTGTTTTTGCAACTTGGTCATATTGGTAGGAAGACCTAGAGTAACGCACCCAGTCTGGAGTCCATTGTATGCATGATGATTTACAGAGTCGGACCGTGGACGTGGTACATTCTCAGATGTTAGCTGGCATCGTAATCGGTGTTTTCTGTGAGTCTTTTCATTCTTAGCACCACACTACAATTCGTGAAAGAGACAAGAGAAGCCGATCATTTGACCAATCGTCTGCAATTTTTTAGGAGAAAATTTCTGAAAGGATCGGCTTCACTTGTCTCTTTCACGAATTGTAGTGTGGTGCTAAGAATGACGAAGCTCACTGAAAATGCCGACTACGATGCCAGCGAACGTCTAAAAATGTACCACGTCCACGGTCCGACTCTGTAAATTATCATGCATACAATGGAATTCAGACTAGGTGCGTTACTCTAAGTCTTCCTACCAATATGACCAAGTTGCGAAAACAAAATCAAACAACTTCTAAGAGGGGTTTGGCTGAGAAATCGATGTATCAGCATCTGTTTCCTACGAAGCTATAATGACGCAACCCATTAATAGTGGCCCCTTAACGAATTTCTGCATCATGACAGATGCAAACCACCAAAAAACTAGCAAAATTGGAATATATCCACATTGCAAAGGTTGTTTTATCAATGTTCATAATTAGGATTTAGCAAGATTTGCTTACAGTAAACAAATTCAAACAGAAATAGAAGAAATCATCTTGCATGATAGTTACATACACCATTTTTCTGCGTCCACTCTGGTGATGATGCCGGGATTTTCACCGTTTCGTTCGCTGAATTGAACAAGATAGTTCCATTCGCATTCACCTGAAGGCTGAGGATATGCAGCAGTCCATTTGACCGGCACCATTTTGCCAACAACTGGGCGTTTCACCTCAACATGAGCCACTCGGGGAGGCACTATCAAAAGGAAAAAGGTGAGTTCAAGTAGACGTTTCACAATTGCATTGAAAAATTTTCTGAAAATAGCCCAAATCCTCTCTAACAAAGGAAATGAGATGATCTGAAGCATTTTGTTGAATTTGTTTGTAAAAATGCAAAAATGAGAATCGACTACTCTAACTCGAAACTTCATAAGTGCATTCAAGCTTAAGTATGAAGGCATAATCTATGAACCCTTAACTTCAAGGAGGATATATCTTCTTTGCATCCTGATCTCATAATTAATATTGAGATGATATCTCTTTGGGTAAATAACGAGTCCTAATTTACAGAGATCGTAGTTCCGAATTTTTCCGCATATGAGGCAAGCAGGAATCAGTTTCCTTGTACTAGTAAACAATAATTTGCTCTACCATGCACTTATTACTGCTATACTACTTATGTAAGTATGCTCACAACTAAAATAAATGTGAGTATATATGAGCTCATAGTAATCCCTTAGAATGCCTCACTAAAATCCAAAATGACTTAGCAAAACCAACGCATTAGTAGATGAAAAATTTAAGGCTAATAATTATAAAGTTGATTAAAACTCTCTGTTTTATAATCTTGCAATACTAGAGTAATTCAAGAGCTGTGAAAATGGCATAATTCTTTGTTTTAGTCATTATAAGACGTATAACTATTTTCTGCTAACTAAATATAAATCCCACAATTCGTAGTTAAAATAATTGTATTTTAAAAAATTCCTGCTTACTTTAAATAACGTATGTATAAAATTAAATTTTAGTTTCGTCCTTACATAAGCCTTAATATTTTTTTTACTAAATTTTCTCTTAAATCAACCACAATCTGATCATAGTGAAAACGTACAGGTAAGATGCTTCTGCTTGGCTCCATAGCTGATCTTCTCATTGTGCCACGTCTGTAGATGGAATTCATAAGTGACACAAGGCTCCAGGAAGTTAACTGTGTAGTTACGCGTCTTGATGTCCGGTATGCGAACTGAGTATCGACCCCCGTAAGGTGAGGTGACGGTGAGTTGGTAGGCTGTGCCTGAGCTGGAGGGTTCCCAGGCTAGAGTAATTGATGATTCATTTCGTTTGAGTAACTCCATGTCATCTGCTTCTTCGAGGTCTGGAATACACAATCCAAAAGTAAAGACCAAGTTGAATGAAGGCATGTTTGGCAGGTCTCAGATTTAGTGATTATGTGTCTGTATTTGCAAATACTTGTTATGAAATCGTCTTTATATGCCTCCGAATTCAATTAGGCCTTTTGGCCAGAGGACGATCTAGCACAAACATATAAAATACACTGCTTTTGGTACATCTGTATTCTCAACCCCTCGAAATTTCGTATCTGCAAACTCGGTCAGTCTTGCTGGCTATCCTCTCTTCTATACTAATTGGAGCATTAAGGAACACGGAAAAACTTAATATCTTTCTTACTTAAATTCCACTTACTAGGGGCTAAAATTGTGCTTTTTCCGTTATTCTTTTATTCAACTCGGTTTTAATAACCTTCAAGAGACGCTGTCTTAGGGCTTAAATACGTCGTTTGATACTAAACCACAATGGTGGCTAAAAAGCATTTTTTCTTGATTGAAAATCAGCAAACATTTGATGAGCCCCAAAAAACATGAATTCCTCACTAAAATGTGTCTTATAACAAAGTCCAAATCAGCCTAGGCCGCCTAAAATAGTTTCGAATGGATTGTCAAATTTCTCAGAATAAAATAAGTAGAAATTTTCACGACGCCCTATTAGTTTATCATTGCCTTGTGTCTAGAATGCTTTCCTATTCAAGCTATACTTAGTTTCGACATTGCCTCAGTCTTAAAATTACCTCCATTGGGATTTAAACCTATATCTCGGGGACAACAAGTGAAAATGGGTCTCACGTCAGATGTGACGAAGTCCTCCTCTTCTTAATTAATATTTTAATAATGAGAGCGCTATCGACAGGGCAAACTGAATTTGCCATTCTAATCAACAATACTACCAAATGCGAATTGAGTAAATTACGAAAATACAAGTAACTCGTTAAAAAACATTTACCTGCATTGGGCGGTTAATTAGTTACGTCGTTTTGCGAAATCGGAATATCAGGAGAGTATCAAGAGATAAAAGTTCTTATTCTAGTTTTAAGACTTGCTTTAATGCCTACTTAGCTAGTATATAGTAGTATCGCTGTTTTTATAACAGATTTAACTTCTAAACGGTTTTATCACATTTGTTAGAATGTATAATCGAATCGGCACCTCCATCAAAATTCATGACTGAGCTAATCACATCCAGCCTTAGCCCTAAAAATTAAGAACTCACGTTTGTCATTGATACTAGTTAACACAATATGAGCAGGTTTTGAGAGAATCCGTTCATCCTTAATTTGGCTTATAGGACCATGAAGGGAGCTTTCCCCTCCTTTAATGGTTGAGCTTACTTCCTTTTTGAGTTAAAGTGTTGGGTTAAGAGATTTGAAGGTCGGTTCCACCAGAAGAGGAAGGCAGATTCCTCTTGACCAACTGTGGGTTGGCTTTACTGGAAGATTCATTGAGTTTTCTTGACTCATTAGCTTGCATTTAGTTGTGACGATGATACTTTGCTCTGATGATGTTAGTTATAGGATGGAAAAAAGCTTAGCACCTTTTCACCGGAATCGAAGGTGATTACCTCGGAAACAGCGTCAGCATGAATCTTCCAGTAAAGTTAATCAAAAGCTCGTAAAGAGGAATCTGCCGTTGTTTTCTGGTAGAACCGCCCTTGGAATATCTTCAGCTAACACTTTCACTCGAAATGAAATAAGCTCAACAATTTTGAAACAAAAGATTCCTCAAAACCCAAATTTTCCTCGAATATTTTTTAATAGTTTCTCAGTTGGATCGTTATCGGAGATTCTGTTTGTTGTAGCATAGGTCCTAGAAATTTTATGCT